GGTTGTGTTCTAATAGTTAGGTTCTACAGGTTGGGTTCTACTGGACTTTGTTGTAATAAATGTTTACTCTCTTAGAACCTTCCCTAACGTTTTTTATCTGACACTAATCAAAGGTGTTCCGATAGAATACAAATAAATTCGTGAGCAAATTTAGCCGTGGCTTTGTTTCATTTCCCCCAATCATCATCAGATCATAGAAACCACCCGTTTCCGGGCCAACGGCGTCGCCAGATCCACTTATCAGGTTTGGTTCTCACCTTGATGAGCTCGTAGATGTTAGCCGGGTCACAGGTGGTCAGGCTGCTGAGGACGATGAGGATCTCGCGGCTGGTGTGTCCAGGCATGTGCCTTCAGGGAGACAGACAGAGCAGGTGAGAGGCGCCACTTCAGACCCGAAGCGGTTCTAAAGCCACTGTCCCGAGGAACCCACTTGAGCGTTTGAACGGCCAGGCTGAGGGAGTTGTAGAGAGACGGCTCTCCGACACACGGCATGTCCACCGCTTTCTTCAGGGCAGCGATGTGCTTCTTTGGATTCCCTGTTGAAGGAGCGGAGCAGAACATCAGCAGGTTTAAACCCAGAGCACAGCAGAACATCACATGGTGGACTCAATAACTAAATGCTCTCTGGTGCAGAACATTAGGAGACCATGACAGGAGCTGATCCAGACAGACGGTGCTTCCATCTTAACAATGTTTTACTGATAAACGGATCAGTCCGAATGTTCTTCTTCTCTCCTTTATGGTTCTGTTCAGACGGAATTGGACTTGGTTCAGAAAACCGAGTCATCACAAAATGACCCATCTGAGGTCTGTGGCGGTCAATTAGAGCCATCATCAGGAGAGCAAGGAGGTGTGGAGAGCAGGCGGTACCGCCAACTTTAACCTGATGTTTGCTGCTAACAGAAGCTAAAATGGCCGCCAGAATTTCTGCCTCAGTCAACATAAAGTCTTTAAATGACATCAGTGTTTAGGGCTTGGCTGATGAAGACAGCATCGCCTCTGGAGGGTCAGGAAGGTTGGGTCACGGTTCTAAAACTCATCCCTCCTAGAACCATGAAGCTGCTGGAGAACAGGCAGGAAATGAGATCCTCTGCTGACGGTTTAGATCCAACCCTTTAATGAAGCTGGACCTTTGGGTTTAAGCTCCGACTAAGGGCGCTGAAAGGTCTTTGAACAGATCTGACGCTTGTTAGCATATTTTCTACGACCGATATCAGCTTTGGCTGAGTATCTTATAAAATATATTACCACCTTCTATGTTTAACATGCAGTGGAGACACAGAAACGGCGTCTTTTTCTGCAGAAATGTGATGGTGGAGCGGATCGGTTAACCAACATGAATCCTTGCCCTGCAGACAGTTAAAGCGTGCCGCTGCTCACCTGCCAGCTCGGTCAGCTTCTCAGCCCTTTTGTTTTTAGTGGTGATGATGCCGACCTGGAACCAAACACAGCCTGTTAATAACACAGTAACTAACAGCACTGCTATAGAAAATGGACGAGTTAATTATAAAATATGACTCCAAACCGCTGCCACCGCAACAACATTTCTGTGCTTCTCTCCAATGCTTTCCATCTGGATCCTTTAACATAATGTCCTAAAGAAGGCGTTTGACTGGTGGTGGCATGAGCTTCCACCACCAGGGGGCAGTAGCTACATTAGAACAGGGTTCCTACAGCATAAGGCAAGTTAAATTCAAGACTTTTTAAAGACTTTTTAATGCCACTTGAAATAAAAATTTAAGACCAAATTCACAAGAAACTCAAGAAAAACCCGCTTGCGACAACTTAACCTAATGTTTCAAACTTTGAAAATCTTCCCATACAGGAAGAAAGCTAAAAACACAAATGACAGATATATTTTAACAATTA